TCAGGGAGAAGAGGTGCTCCATGCTGCACTCCTCGCTCCCAGGCAGAGCAGAGACAGAGACACGACCACAGCTGCCCTCTCTCAACGTGGGAGGCAGATTCCTGGTCCTGGCAGTAGGCACAGCCCTGTCATTTCATCCCCCTCCCTCCCCCTCGTGGGTTCAAAGTGCAGCCCGGAGAAGTGCACTCCTCCCCATGCCCCCAGCGTGAAGGGCAGACATAAGCAGCTTGCAGCTCAGCCATACACTTTTCTTTATTCTCTTCTTTCCTCCTTCATTTCTCTGCTTTTCAAACCCCCCCATTTCCTCTTTTTTTTTTTTTTTTTAGTCCTCCCCCTCCAGCCCTTCCTCCAACAGACTTTGTATTCTGGGAAATGGAGTCTCTCGCTGCATTGGATTTTTTTTGAGTTTGCAGGAAATCTCCTCGGCTGAGTGCTGGGACAACTGGTCCAGCTAACGGCAGCCGGCAGTGCTTTTAATTCAGGTCAGAGACAGGTTGCAGCCTGCAACTCTCCAGTCTAAAGCAGGCAGCCTGTTTTCTCAGCAGGCCACTCTCCCATAGGAATAAGGGCAAACGTTGCCCCGGGTTTCCTCCCAGGCCCTGCTGGGATGTGCTCACGGACGTGGCCTGGGGGCCTCCGTTCCAGCCAGCCCTGACCCGGCTGTGATGGCTTCTCGGAAGACTTACCAGCCACATTTCTACAGAGAAAGCTAAAGAGCAGCCCCACAGCACATCTCACGGAGGAAATAAAGCTCTCTCAATGTGTGGCCTGGCTTTGGGGGGGTGGGAAATGGAGGGTGAGACAGAGCAGTAGCGTCCCTCTGACCAGCTTTTTCCTGAGAGCCTCAATTGAGGAGACCAGTTAAGCTGCCCTAGGAAGAGGTGAGAGAGTGGTGGCTTCACCCCATGTCTGGAAATAAGGCAGAATTTACTGCACAAAGAGCAAAAACAATGGTTTCACTATAAAGCATTTCCCAGTGCCCACGTGTCTCCCCCTCCCTGCCCCCAAACACACCCCAGATGCTGTGGAACCATCATCAACTAATTTAATATATATATATGCATGCATGCATGCATGCATATGCACACACATGTATGTATATATGTGCATACACACATATACATCACCGACCTCAGCAATATTATCGCAGATGAGTAAGCAGAAACAAGGAAAACCACTAAGAAAACCACACCAGCGGGAAGCCTTTAAGAGAACACCTCTGAATGAGAACTTTGAGCTGGATTTCAAGGCGGATAGGGAGTGAATCCTGGTATCAGATAAGGAGACTTGAATGCCATTGCAATTGCTGTAATGTATAAGCACGGTCCTTTGGGAAGGGTGCAAAAAAAGTGGCAGCCGCTCACTGAGCCAGGCACCTTCTGCTCATTTTAAGGCAGGAGGTAGTTTTCAGGTTGGTGGGTGAGAAAGTGCCAATTCCCCCTACCCTTCTTCTGAAACGTGGTTTGTGTGAAAGGGACCCTGGATTCCAGCACGTTCCCCTTCAACGTGGGGAATCTCCCTGATGCTCAGCAATTAGAAAAGGCAGCCTCTCATCAGGGTGCTAATTCACGATCCTTTGCCCCACACCCACATCCATCTCTTTTCATGCCTGCTGAGGAGGTTTGGCTTATCTAGCTAACCGAATACAACATTTTTTATAGCATCCGACAGCTGAAAGGATCTGCAGCCATTCTGTGAACTTCACCAAGAGATTTCTAAGGAGCACTTGCCCACCCCTGCCGTCGCCTCCCCACAGAGGACAAATGCGGCAGCTATATAAACAGTGTAAAGCAATGGGTTAGGTAAGGAGGATTTTTTTTCTTTCACTTCTCATGTCTGTTTTATGGAGCTTGAATCTTTGCTATTTTGTCTCCCCAGACTCAACTCTCCAACTGCCCCAGTCGGCGACCAGCTAGAATGACCCTGGCAAAGTCCCCAAGAATATACAAAGGAGGCTACAATCTGAGCTAGTAGGGCTTAAACCCTGCTTGAACCCGGGTAATCTGTACCAACGCAGATCACCGCTCTCCTTTCCTGCAGGAGAGATTTGCATTGAGGGCAGCTACGCTGGCAGATGGCCACCAATGACTTACCCTGAATCCAGGCACCAAGGTAGCCAAGGCCTTAGTCAGCAAAAAAGGCTTTGGATGGGAAGCGGACGCAAGTCTAGAGTTTATCACATTTTCAGTCTATGTCATAGTGATCCAAGCATTCAAAGCAGGAACTGCCATGCAGAAAACCAGTCGTGGCCAGCAGCTGTCAGTGGAGCCTTGAATGGAGGGTGAAATATGTTGCTACGATGATCTTGCAACCGTACTTTCATTCATAACTTTCTTTCATAACTCCCATTCCTCTTGTTTTCAAGGGCAGAAACTTATAGTCATTTTATATTTAAAATTACCTTGGCCAGAGCAGGCGGGAATGTTCTTGACGCCCAGATGTTCAGTGGAGGTGCATCGGCTCTGCCAGTTTTTGTCATTTCTCCATTTCCGAGACATGTACACACGACAACCTAGCAGTGTGGGTGCTTCCCTGAGATATGGGAACCTGGGTGAAGGCCCTGATTCTGCCAGAGTAATCGGGTCTTAAAACCCCCTGCTGTGAGACAGAGTAAGGATTTGACCCAATCTCCCACATCCATCGCCTCTTTCCCAATTGAAAACGCTCAGTTTCCAGCTGCAAATAATGGCCGGTTTGACACCATTCCATTTCCACAAGACCCTTTGGAAGTTCTTTTCCGCCATGATGCAGAACAAGAAAAACTCACAACCCCAAAGCTACGACAGAGTAGACTTGTCCTCTAGCCAGTTCTAATCTTACCAGCTGGGCTGAACAAGGTCAAACCAGATTGGATACACCAGGCTCAGAAAGGTTTTAGATACCCGACAGGCTTAACTCGGACTATGAGAGAAGGCTATTGGGTGCGCTGGTCCAGAGAAGGTGAGTGGAAGTAGGGGAAGTATTAAGAGTGTCGGAAGAGAGAGATTTATTAGACAAGCACTGCTTCTGCAAAACAAGCCGTCCCATCAGGATGTGGCCATGCAATAGTTACTGGGAACGTGCCTTTCTAGTCCAGTACAGTATCACGCTACCTTCCCTTTCCCCTCCATCAAAATCAAGTGGTTGGACACGTAGTTGGAAGAATGTCTATTTAATCCCCCTGTGAACTCTGCTTTGCAAATGGAGCTTTTGTCCTCTACATCATGACTTTCCTTGTAAGGAGTCCCAGCCCCAAACCACCATCTAGTGTAGGTAGCAAGGACTATACAACAAATACATCTTTTAAACCTCCTACTTCAGGATGCCAGCAGACTGCCTGCAGGGGTCAAGAGAGCTCCCAGCACATTAAGCTTCAGACCCCACAGATTGCTCTTCATCTTATACTTCAGAGGACGATTTTAGTCCCTGGGAAAAGCAGGATACTGGACTGGTTGGAGTCCATCTGCGGTCTGAGCGGTGGTCTTTCTGAATGCTCTGTTCATATTTCTGCTCCCTACTGCACTGCTGACTGGGGAGAGGGGCAGGGAAAACAGGAGTACATACACATGTAAAAACAGATTAGCTCCACGGTGGGACATCACATCATGCTTCTTCACAAGGAATAAGTCTAGACAGAAGCTTCAGTCCTGCAGGTAAGAGTGAAAAATGAAGGTGGACATAAAGGGGAGCTCTATCACATGTCCCTATTAATCCCTCATTCAAGTGGAGACACCAAGAATTAACAACTGACAGGAAACCTGGCCAGGATGAAAGCAAAGAGAAAAATGACTGAGTTTATCGCTGAGCGCTGGGCACCACCAGTGACTTCAATTCGGCAGCATAACCACGGTCAGCAGACCCTCACATGAGAAGCATCAGCCCTCACAGATCTATGCTGTGTTATGAAACACAGAGCACATGTCTGTTTGAGGGAGAGACCCCGATGGGCTTATAGTCAGGAAAAGGAGTTGCTGTTTCACCCTTATCTCAGGGACATCAATGCTGTTTCCCAGTTCCTTGCTGTCAGCCTACCGATCGTCAGTGCTGCTGGGAGACGCTGGCACCGTACAGGAGAGCGCAGATTTGGGTGTTTCAGGATAGCACCTTCTGCATCACCGCAGGGGGCTGGACTAGATGATCCTCCAGGTCCCTGCCAACTTTGAATTTAGATAAATTTGAGGCAAAACAATGCCGGAAGGGCAAAAGCCTCACAAGCTGAACTGCCTAAAAAAAAGATCTGTGTCATGCACACTCACCAGCAACAGACAGGCCTTGAGACACCCAACAGAAGGAGGTACTGAAAGGAGCAGAGTCCTGTTTTACTACTAACAGTGCAGAATTGGTGGCAGGCAGCCCTGGCCTATGGAGGTGCCCAGTGAATTTTCCCGTCCCTTTCCATCTGAAATAAAGCCCACATGCACCCCGCATTTGCTGCTATAAACATCACCTTCCACAATTAGACTGGACTGCACCAAACTGTGGGATATTTGCAAGTGGTGAGTTATGATTAAAGCCAGCATTTCCACGCCAGTTCCACAGTATGTTTTTGTCCATGGACAGCATTTACTATGACCTTCCCAGGTGTTCCCAGATTTTGGCTTTGTTTTGTCGATCCTTTCATAGGCTAAGAGCTACCTGGGGTTCACCACACAGTTCCAACAATCTCCAGGAAATAAGAGGAGCAAGAACGTATTCAAAACATTTCAACTTGGGTTGAACCCTCTAAGAAGAGCTGGGGAATGCCCATAGTGCTTCTTTTAAAGGGTGCCGAGCTGGTTTTTGAAGAGCCTGGATTTAACTGCCCTCCTCATGGGTGGAGTAAAGGAATAAGCCAAGTTCCGGTGGCTGGATTTGAAGGAGCAAATGGCCTTTTAGGATCTCACGCTAGTAATATTTGCTATGCTGCAGAACAGTGAATTTGTAAGGCCAAGTGCCAGGCAGATTCAACCCCCAGGTCACTGGGCCCCTGGTACAATGAACAGAGACAAAATTAGCTAAAGCATATTCTTTCAGTGCCAGAGCCCATGTGTTAATTTATTGTGCAAAGAAGCAAAAACAACTCTTTCAACTTCAACTTCTGAACACCCACAGCTCACAGCTAGGAGGTCTAACAGTGCTTTCATTCAAATAACTGTTGCCGGTTAAAAATGAGCATTTTACCCCACAACCACAGGCTAGCACTAATTATTAAACAGAAAACCGGCTATAGAATAAAGAACGTAGCCACACAGAACTCCTTAAAGAGCTATTGCTATTTAACCCCCGTTCTATCTTTGACTGTTTTCTCAAACGAGGTGCGCTGTCTCGTGGCCTTGCATGCTGCAGTAGGAAAAGATCTCTGGCAAGCACTTTAGCTCCAATTAAAGAGCAAGATCTACCTGTTCTTAAAGGCAAATCACTAGCTCAAATATACAAGTTACTGACTTGCTGTGATCAGGGAAGGCATGGATGGCATTGGGAATCCAAACTTTTTAAGTGTAGAGTATCTGGATTTGATGTTCCAGTTCAGCACGTGCAGAGACGAGCTTGATTTATGACACTGTATTTGGCTATTATAGCTGGCGTGCAGCCTTTAAAGGGGTGAAAAAGGTATAAACCGAGCTCTCTTCAGAAAGCAGACATTGATAACTCTGTATTGAATGCATCTTTGTCATTTCACATATAACTACTTTCTTTACAGGTCATGAGAAAATTGCCCGGCTTCTAATGCACCGCCTCAAGTCAACAGCTCAATAACAAAGCCCTTGGTTGCCACTTTATAACTATGGCTGCAGAGGAATATGACTGCAATAAGCATGAGATTAAGATTTTATATTGTCCCATAAGTTCAACTCTCCTCACTGCCTAAACGGAAAATCAATTTGATTATAAAGTGCAACTGCAAGGCTCTTCTGTCAAGGGTAACTGAAGTACAGCCCCCTTGGTGAATAAACCCCCTTTGAAAAGAAACCTTCTTCAAGTGCTAAATGCAAATTTTCAGATGTGAATGAAGCTGGCCGGACAGCTTCCAAACCAGCGACCACAACCCATAGCTTGCAGACGCACTGCCCTCAGGATCCTCTAACGCTGCCTGTGGCCAGAGGAAATCACAAAGCTAAAACTCAGGCTGACAGGGAGAGTAAGGCCTGATGTTGCCCACAGCATACTACTTGCGCTCTCTTGTGCCCATAGGTCAGCGGAGATTGGAGACGACCACTGTGACAAAGATCTCTGAAATCGCACCGTATCTTGCTATAACAGTAACAATTAAACAGGGTTTCCACTGAAACCATGTATAACCTAATACATTCTCCCCCTCTTATATAACACATGCCCCAAGCCTTCAGATTTTCCTTCTGAAGCATTCTAGGGATCTAGATAGGTAGAAATACTAGGTAGATAACCAAGTGCTATTAGGAAGTGCCCTTTATGTACTGCAGGGCTCCCCACAGAATTGTACCCTTCACAGAGATCTGCTTCTCCACGACAGCAATAAAAATGCTGCCTCCCAAAGGGTTTCGTACTCCAGGTTTGCCAGGAAGCACATCTTCATCTTTGTTTCTACCCTGCTTTTGTCCACCAGTCCCTCCATCAGCAAAGTGGCAGCTGACTGGCAGAGAAGCCAGCCAATCATCTTGTCCAGATGCAGGTTTTTTGAAGCCAGGATTTGTTCACCCCAGAGGCTTAAGTGAAGCACATTTGCTGCAACTCTAGCAGATAGTCTCTGAAATGAGAGAGGGGAGAGAAAATATGGGCATCTTGCTGAATCACACACAAGTCGTTAGCAGATAAATGGGAATGTTCGTTTGCAGCCCACAGCACATTCAGACATGCACTTTGTGGCTCTTATGTGGCACCTGTGCTCAACCCCCTCAATCAAGGTCCATTACATGCCTGCAACCCAACTTCACTGCAATCTGCAAAACCACTCAGTGTCAAGAAGTGGATCCTGTATCCTACTGTCAGTGATGTTCCATGACAATTTTCTACGGTCATCTGCATTGCGGTGGCATCAAGGGGCACCAATTGTGGACCAGACAACTCGCTGGGCTGAGCACTCTACCAACACTACTCTGGACAGTGACACACCGCCTAAATCTCCGCTTGCAAAATCAGCTGCAAGAGCTCTCACCTTGCTGGGATCCCGCAGAAGTAGCATCCTCACTACCTGCTTCACCTCGAAGGGCACAGCCTCTGGCAATGCTGGCAGCTGGCTTTCTTGGTAACTTCTGCTTTCCAGGGTGGATCTCCCTGGACCATAGAAAGGATTACACAGTCCAAGGATTTCATATGCAATAGCTCCAACTGTCCACGTGTCTGCTTTACTGTAGTCAATCACCATGCCTGGACCAGGTTGTGCTGTGACCACCTGCAGAAAAGGCACCACGGGAGACATATGGGAAAGTTCAAATAAATGGCATAAACATATTTGACTTCTTGGTAAATCTACTTCTCTGCATAAACACTTGTAAGGGGCAGATCAGCATTTCCACTGGGACAAACTAGTGAAATAAGTTGGATAGTGTAACAATACCTCCAACAGCCAATATATTACATTAAGGCACAAATGGCTACATAACCAGTCACAGACAGACCTTCACCAAGTATTGAAGTGGCTACAGACTAATAGAGACTGTATCAGCGAGCATTTAAATATTTTACAGTGTGTGTCATGGGAAAGAATATATAATGAAGGGGATGGTTACAGTCCTCCAAGATCTGTTATTCTGGATTAATTCTACTTGTATTGAACGTAATGCCAAAATATTCATGGATTTAGCTGGGATCAAGTCTGTAACTACCAAACAGCAATGACCATTACAGAAGGAATTACCTCAGGTGCCATAAGACAGCCATTGCCTCCCCGATCCACATACCAGCTGGTAAAAGGCAGTCTCAAGCCAGTATTTTCTTCAGCCAAACAGCAACCGAAATCTGTGATCACCAGCCAGGGACAGCCAACTGTCAAGGACACAAGGGTAAATGAGTTAACACTGAACCCAGGTGTGCACTGGGGGCTTGGCTGTACCTAACTGCCAGTCATTATGAATTACAGGAATCTTTCCAGCCACAACTTCTTTTTCCTCTCTCCCCTCCTCAGTGTTAATGTCTAGAAGCTTTGATTTTTGTAAAGGAAAAGCAATTTGTCCATTTCTCTGTGAAAAGTACCATTTATCCATACCAAGGGTTCAGTGATTCTGCCTAACTGTGAGGCAGAATGTGATTTTTTTCCTTCTGAGGTTATGTGAAGCAAAACATTCAAGATCATCTATACAGTTCCCATTAAAAAATCAGACGCTTCGCTAACGGGAGCAAGTACAAATGCCTGATGGGCAGAACAGAAGCATTTTACAGCATTCTGTCCTCAGGCATAAGAAGCAGAGCTGCTGTTGAATGATACGAGAGACATACTGGTGTGTCGGGTCTAATGGAGCTTCACTCTGAGGAGACAGAAATGAAGACACACAAGGTTAAGATTTAATTGGGGGTGGAGGAACTTTTTAGGGGTTTTTTATCTGTAGCAAATACAGAAGAGAGGAGTCGGTGAATGTTTGCTCTGGTTAATGGTTACTGTCCTGGTGACGAGTGAAAAACTGCAAAGCAGAATCATTGATCTCCAGACCCTGAGCTACAGAAATTGAAGTTTTAAATCTATCCTGACTTCATTTGCTACAGCCCTGGAAAGGAACTGCCTTCCAGAAACCAAAATTGCCAGGAGAGCTGTTGAAAACCCTCTGGAGGAGCTACAGCAGGATCTTTAATTACACAGTCCTGGGTGCCTGCTGTATTTTCTCGTCCATTAGTATCTCAGTCATGCTGAAGCAGTGCTCAGGTAATTAAAATCTCAGTTAAAGAGGGTGACAGTAGAACAAGATGAAAGCGCTTTTGGCTTTAACAGTCTGTTTCCTCTGGTCTCAACTAATGTTTAATGATCCTAAGTTGCCGCATTATTAACCTATCTGTGCTGTGGGATTTTAGAAAATGCTCTCTGCTGCCTGGCAAGCCGCAGATGACAGACTGTGGGTCTGAAGCAAACACACCCTAAACCTTCATAAATGGAGCACTGCATGCTACTGCCTGCCCACGGTTCCTGGCAGAGCGCAGTTAGCAAGCAGTCACACTTGCCCATTGTGCTTTGCACCAAAATAGCACCTTACGTTGGAATATCTCCAAGCATTTTACAAACGTGACACAAACATCCTCCCAAGCCCCATCAGGTCAGAAGCAATATCTCCCTTTCTCAGATGGGGAAATGGGTTCAGGGAAACCAAACAATTTCCCAGATGCTGCAAAATCTGTAACCTCTCGGGTGGGTTCCTTCCCAGTTATATACTGTGGCTGGGCCTTTCAGAAGGAGCTCAAGCAGGTCCATACAGTTTCTGACCATGCTGGGGAACACCTGCCATGAAAATATCCCCCATCCATTTGTTTCTACATCAAGTGCCAGTATCCCCTGTAACGTGGCTGCTTTTTAAGCCCTGCTGGGCATGCATCCACCAGCTCACCCACGACAGTGTGCCCCAAACAGCAGCTGTGCAATACCAAGCACGTACATTAGAACAAGCAAGCACGGTATGTTTTCTCTGGTGCTTAGGTCAGTACAGGCATGCCCCCTGGCACTAGTTAAATTACTCCCTTGAACTCACTTTTGTCCAACTGTGCTCATCAAGTTACATACCGGAATCAAACTCAACAAGGATGTTGTCTGATTTTAAATCCCGGTGGGCTATTCCATGTCGAACAAGATGGTCCACACCTTCCAGCAGCTGTAAAATCATCATGGTGCCAAGGTGGACATCCGGAGTCCTGTCTTGCAGGTACTGGCGCAGGGTGCAGGGATAACTGCAGAGACAGCAGGTGCGTTAGCATTCTGGAGCTCTAGAGCTAACATTCACCTCTGTGTTACAGGCATCTGACTGGAAATACCTCACTATGGCATTTACTAGTTTCTGTCTACTCACTCGCTTCCCTCCAGAGGCCTATATTTGGCAACATGACACACACAGTCCTATTTGCCAGGGGCCTCTTAATCCTCATTCTGTATTTTGAGTGCATTAGTGCAGAAACCATAAGCAAGCCCAGGAAAGCGAGGAGATACAATGCAGTGAGAGCACTTTTCCAGAGCCAGGTTGCTCAAAGCAGCAAGAAGGACAGGGGATTGGAGCTATCTCCCTAACAAAGTGCTTCAGTCCAGTAAATGCCATGACATGCCCTCTGCAAAGGAAAAGGCAGTCAAAAAATAGAGAAAGGCCAGAGTTAGAGAGTCACTTCTGCGTCAACCCTGTATGTACAGGCAACTGAAGAGGTGGAGCAAGTGCATTAGAAAACTGAAAAGTGCTCCCTCTTCCTTCAGTGAATTCACTGAAACTTACTACTACAACGAGGAGCAAGCTTTCATTATCTGACAAGAGTTAAAAGCTTGGGAACAAGAAAAAGGTAAAAAAAAAAGCAAAGCTCCGTAAGTGCGTTCTCATCTTCAGAAACAAGCCAAACCAAAACTTCTCTGCACGGTCATGCGGCAAGTCTAAGTAAGTAAAAAAGTTCCTCCCTACTTACTTTTTCATCACTAAGAAGAGTGTGCGGCTGTGACCAATCCCCCGGGGGTTCAGGCTTAATGGGAGAACATCTGGATAGTCTGCATAAGCTCCAGGCAGCAGAGGCACAGAGGATGTAAAAGCTCGGATCACCTGGATTATGTTGGGATGAGGTTCTAATCTCTTCTTCCCAAAGATGCGTTTCCTGTTTCAACATAATTGATACATCTAGTAAGACAAAGAAATTAAAACCCCAAAAGCAACTGTAGAATGGCAAATTACAGGGACTTGCATATCTGTTATTTTTTAACAATCCAGCCCCTCTTCGCTGAAAGGCTGGGAAAGCGGTTAAGCATTCTGCTCACTTGGGAACAGAGCTACAATTAAGACTGCTAAGTGCCATTAAAGACATACTATTAAAACACACCTACTAAAATATGCCTCACAGTCATTAAAAACTTCTAAACACTGGAAAATTAGACACAACTCTAATGCCTTCCCTCAACGACCATAAAGCCCTGCAGCAACTTTCCTAATCAGACCCTGTCTTGCAATCTAGCTCGCACAGGCACTTGTGTGCCTCCATGGAGCACTCACTGCCTTCAGCAAGGTTCTGCAAAGGTGAAGAAAACTTCAGAGAGGTGCCACCATCTGTGTGCACAGCTCTGATTGCAGCGTGGGAGCCTAAACTATGGTCACTCTGCAAAGACAGTCTTTGTACTGATCACTCATTGTCCTGGGGGGGCTGGGCCAGCTCAGACTGAAGGGAGAACATGAACTGTAGCTTTGACCCACTCCATTGATCACAAGTAAAGATACAACTGGGCCCTGGCCATGATATGTGTTAGACTCCCCTTGCTCTAGATTGGCGGAGACCAAGCTTCTTGCCAGGCATGCCACAAACTAAGTTTGTGCCTTCCTCTAGTGCCCCTTCAATCCCCTTCCTCCGCTTTCTGTCCCCCATCCAATCTGCCACATGCCGCATGTAGGGGCTACCCGTGTCACTTGGGGCATGCATGCCACAGGTTGGCCACCCCTGGTCTAGATGATGATAAATTCCAGGCAATAAACTTCTATCATTTCCTACAAGATGCAGTTTATCGCTCTGCCATGAGAGGGCATTCAAAACATTTGTTTCATCAGCGATTTAAAGACAAAGGATTAAATTGAGAAAAACAGCATTTTCCATCAATGTGATTGTTGAACATGAGCCATCAGCGCTTCCCCTGCTAAGCTCTAGGGAGAACGATTAAAATCACAACATATCCCTTCACTTCACTGCAAATCCTAGTAACCTTTGCATGCTAGTTTTTTAATTAGAGAAGGTCAGGGCTAGTCAAACAGACGTGCCGTTTAGTAAGGTTCAAGGAAGAAGTCATCAGTTTTGAAGATATTGATTTTATAGCTGAAGGCAGAAGCAAAATCAAATTGACGCTGGGAATGCAAAACCAAGCCATCTATTTTCCAGCATACACAGGAAGTGCCCATTAAAATGAATGCAAATTACATGGGTGCGCATGCATGCCAATTATCTATTTGGTTTGGCTGTTATATTCTGAGGACAGCAATGTACCAAGCAGCACTTATTATTCATTTGTGTTGGCAGATGAGATGCATTTGAAATTTAAAACGAACAATCTGGACTCTGGACTACACTGTTTAAACTTAAAAAAAAAAAGTGTTGACAATGATACAATTTGACTGGAAAACAGCTCTTTCTTGCCTTGATATTGTGAACAGAGACACTCAAAAACATTTTAAAATTTTAATGTGCTTTGTCATTTTTATACTGCTGATTTACTACTTAGTTCAGGGTGTGAGAACAGGGTTTCAGCCATTTTCCAGTTTGTTCTGGTCACTCATAGATAATTTCATTTAAATCTTCTGTACCAGCAAACTGTTTCCTCTGATAATTATGTAAATTAGGGAGATGTTTCTACTTCTTTTTAAAAACCAAATCACGCGTGGGGTCCAATCCGATTTAACTGTCTTTTGAAAGGCTTCGATCACGAAAGAGGCTGCAAGGACGTACCTTTGGAGTTGCATGTGCATACATTCACATTAAAATATTTCCCCCTGATCTTAGTAACAAAGATAATGTACTGCTTTGACACCATTCATCACTAGGCCCCAAAGCACTTTTCAAAGCTGGTCAATAGTATAATTGTCCCAATTTTACAAATGGGAGAATGGACTAACCCTTTCACATCTGTGTCCCATCAGCATCCAGCAGTCTAGGGACACAGCTGGATTCAGAGTCCAGGTCTCAATAGTCCTGGCCTAGTGCTCTGCCCTTCAGGCATATCATTACCCCAAGAAAGAGGAGTGAGTTTTAATATGTGTATTTCCTTTACAACAGTAACAGCACCCCTGACACGTTTCCAGTCCCTTAACCCGAGTTCTCATCCAGGGAAATGAAGTTGGGCAGGACTTTTTCCATGGATGCACCACCAAGCAACCCCCTCAGCCGCAGGAAGTGTTCTCAGTGGTGGCAGATGACAGAGGAAGGAGCAATGGGCTCAAGTTGCAGCAAGGGGAGTTTAGGTTAGAGATTAGGAAAAACTCTTACTAGGAGGGTAGAAAAGCACTGGAAAAGGCTACCCAGAGAGGTTGTGGAGTCTTCAGGCTTGGAGGTTAAGACCCGGCTAGAAAAAGCCTTGGCTGGGATGATCTAATTAGGGCTGGTCCTGCCTTGAGCAAGGGGTTGGACTAGATGTGACCTCTTGAGGTCCCTTCAACCCTCATTTTCTATAATTCCAAGTGCTACTGGCGAGCTAATACCTTCCTCTCCATTGGTATCAGCCAATGCCCCAACTCCTGAAGGCACACTGTATTTTCCAGGATGACAAGATTTAGAAGAAATGTACAAACAGATCCTGTCCCCTTCTGGTCACTAGTTACAATAACCCCTTGCTGTCTGTCTCCTTTTTAACATGTTTAGAAACATCAGCTTTATATTATGACCTAACTCCTTTTCCAATTATACCCCACCTCACTGGACTCCAAGCAAGTTGTCAACGGAATATAACATTCTTCTTGGCATCCTCTCTTAAATGTTACATAGGTACCGTTACTTTGATAATTTCTGGCTTTGCCGATTCTCGCGAGAAGGTAGAATTTTAAAACATCTTAATCAAAGATTCCTTTATCCCCTTTAAAAAAAACAATATAAAAGCACCTTTAACTCAGAGCTTCCTAAACAGTATTGGTTCATCACTTTCAGCACTGCTGTGAAGTGAACTGATAGATCAAGGTAATAATTAGGGAACCTCCAGCCCTGCTATAAGATGCATACCTGTGGCAAGAGACAGCTCCATATTCTCCAGACAAAGCAACTCCGCTGGCTGGAACGAGTTCCTGACTCATGGTGCTGAGGATCGCTTCACTTGAAGAACCAGCCTACAGAATTGGTTACAAATAACACTGTATTAAAGGCCCTTACACTTTAAAACCATCCTTTCTAACCAATGAAATCGGAAGCTGGTAATCCTGAAGCCTGTATTACATCTCAAGGAAGCTGCAGATAGATGAGGTCAGGCTAGAAATAAGGGGCAATTTGTTAGGCATGTGGTGAGAGTTTCTCATCGCATAAAGAAAGAAAACTGGATATCTTTTTAAAAATATTAGCTACTTCAACTACAAGACATAGGCTTGATTCAAGAATTACTGGGTGAAATGTTATGGGCTGTATGATGAAGGAAGTCAGCTCAGAGGATCTCACTCCAGCCTAAAAATCTACAATTGCCAAAAAATCTAAGGGGCTGGCACTTTGGAGAATTCTTCTGTCTCTTTTCCCTGGAGAAAAGAGGACACCTCAATCTCAAGAACAGTTGCTTTTTGGACAGATAGGCTGTGTCCAGAGGAGCACATACGGTGCCACATACTGCACATTCAGCTGTTCTCTGTGCTACAAGGGAGCAATGCGGGTTAGGGGGCGGTTATGACCACTGGATATCCAGGGGTCAAAAAAAAAGCGGAGTGGTGTACATGGGAGCAGCGTGCGCCACTCAAAACCAGAGCCTGGCTGGCTGAGGTCACACTCCGGCTGCTGGCCAGGCTCCGAGAGGCAGGCTCACCACTGCTGCAGCCCCAGGAGGCCCCCAAGTAAGGGGCACAGTGCCGGCCCCAGCCTCCCCTACCCTACCCGAGGTAACCTGCCGTGCACCAGACAGCACGTGGCACAGGTGTTCCCCAAGGACAGGTAGCAGCGGCACAAGGTGTCCCACTGCTAGCTGTCCTTGGGGAACCAAACGTCCATGCTCGTGTGGACGTGGCCAGCGAGTCATTTGGGCTGGATGAAACTTAGGGGCCCTTTAATGTGTAATTCTGCCATCTGCCTGGCAATCAGCACTACTGGTTTTTAGGGTAAAATTATCCATGGTAAATGTATATCTACTTTTATCCCAGAGCATTTCTTAGAACAGGGATCCCTCAACCTACTTAGCAGAGTTTCGCCATTTTCTTCAACTACTAACTGTTTCTCGGTATTCAGCTTAAAAATGCTCTTTTTCTCTGAAAACAAGATAAACCAGCAATGGGCATATGGATATTGCGTTGGTGATGACTCCCCAGGGAAGAAAGTTTTTTAGGAGTGTTAATCACCGTGCTTTGTGACAGTTCTTCAACAATCTCCTCCTCCAATGATAGACCGACAGCTTTGTTTTGACACATTAAGCATGTGCATAATAATTAAGAGCTTTCAACACATCGGTGGTTAACATTTCACCCAAACTTCACAAGTGACAGACTAGAAGAATAAAACCTACTTCCTTACCGAAATGTTCCACATCATTTTGATTGCTAATGGGAAAGCGGTATTTTGCTGGGTTGCTTGTGTAGGGTTTTCTTCGGCAGCCTCAACAGCCAAGCCACGGGCCCACCGTGGATCCAGGCTCCAGCCGGAAGTTAAAGGAATCGCTGCTTCGTAGACAGCTGCACTGCATCCTTTCCCAATGGGCTGGCCAATGCGGTACTCTTCCAGTTTGAAGCCCTGCCAGCGGAAACAGCTCAGTGGATCTTTCAGCGGCTTGTTCTTCCTGACAAATATCGTCTGCGAGGAATGCGAGAATTACTCAATAATTCAAAATGCAGAGCTATTTTGCTACAGAAGTTACAGGGTGTGCTCAAGGGTGTTCACGCCAGGACCCATACTAAAAGGTCAACACAGTTGTCAAATGAAAACCTTTACATCTTCCAGCACTTTAAACTAGAGCCTATTGGAGCACAGAAAACCCAATCCACAAATATCAACTCGATCAATTTGGACACTTCAAATTAGCATTCAGGAATAAAGCAAGCATTTAATGATTGGTAGTACTCTTTGCTTCTCTAGCATCCTTTCTTTATTAATGTTAACCCTCCAAGATCTTTATGTCAACCCTCCCACTAACCTGGTGAGGTTATTATCCAGTTTAAATGTGGTCACAGCCAGGTCTTGAGAAATGCTTGTTGGCAGAAGGGACTAGAGGTGTAGGGGCTTTCTGCAACACCTCTAGGACTACAAAAGTCCTATGGCAAATGCAATTATGTTGGCATGAAAGTGCTGGTTGTAGCCAAACACTTTTTTTTTTTAACCAGCGTAAGTTACACTGGGGAAATTTTACTAATGTAACTATTGGGGCAAATCTTTTACTAACTTATATGGGGGTTTGCCCAAAATTTCACACCCAGTCCATTACAGAGAGAGAAAACAAGCTGAGTAAGGGCTTACGACCACATTGCAAATACGGAATACAGACTTTCTATTGAAGTACACACACAGCTCACCAGACCAAGTTATATCGAAAATACGTTCAAGCTAACTGACAGTCCATCACCCACCAAGTCTTTTATCGCAGACAAGTCTCAATTTGTAGTGTAGACAAATACACGTTTGAACACAAGAGGGGAAAAACACTTGGTTTATCTACACAATAACAATTTCTGCAGAGAAAGGTGGTGAGATCCCCATAAAAGAGGATTTAACGTTGTGCTTACCTCCCTCTCTGCACAACTCCATAAAGTAATGTTTAAAAGAAAACCTGATTAAGAGGAAAGGCAGATGGACTAAAGAGGCCTGGAGCTTTATAGCAGCTGAAACTGCCAGCTGGTTAGTTAAAGGAGGGAATCAGTGAGGGGAAAATGAGCAGGGATGGATCTAGAGAAACATGGAAAGAAGAGGTGGTGGAGGGTGCACAGAATCAGAAATGAAGACGATGCTAAAGAAGAAAGCGTGCCTAAGAAAGGCAAGGGAATAAAGGTCCCAATCCTGCAATCAGAGGTGTGTGTGGCGGGCCAGTAGGGGACGCTCCTGCGTTGAGCCGCCCACCTCCCTGCGCCGACCACCTTCCAGGCTCTGAGTGCCTCCCTGGGGTGACTCCCGTCCGGCCGACCCCTTCCCTGGCTCAACGCAGGAGCGCCCCCTACTGGCCCGCCACAGCGTGCAGGTGGGTGTGATCAGAGTCTGGGCCCCTGCCAGGCTTACAGTCACACTAGTGATCTCGGAGTCACGGCTGGCTCCAAAACGAACAGGAGTCGTCAATGCGATGAAGCGATCACGAGCAGGTGCAGCGAGGTGACACTTCCCCTCTGTGCAGCGCTGGTCAGACCACAGCGGGAGCACTGCGTCCAGGTCTGGGCGCCGCACCGCGCCGCGCCGCACGAGTGATGCAGATAACCTGGAGAGGGTCCAGAGGAGGGCCGCTCGCATGGTTATGGGCCTGCAGGTTAGATCCTACGGGGAGAGACTGAAGGACTTGCATCTCTTCAGCCTCTGAAAAAGAAAGCTGAGAGGGGATCTTGCAGCTGTCTACAAATTCACAGGGCAGCAAGGAAGAGGAGACGCCCCTTGCAGTTGCTAGGAACAACGGCCACAAACTGGCGGGGAGCACTTTTGGATTGGACATTAGGAAAACATTCAGCGAGTGTTGCCAAAATGAGCTTCCCAGGGAGGTGGTGCTCTCTCCCACCCCGGGGCCTTCAAGAGACCGGACAAGCACCAAGCCGGGGTCTCTTTCCTGCCCAGGGCAGGGGGTCGGACTCGATGACCTACCAAGGTCCCTTCTGACCCTAGTAAATAAAGAAATTCAATTGGTGAAATCTAGTTTAACTAAAGCGATGAAGTAAACGCAA